ACCAAATCTCATTAAACTGGTGAGATCTTATTTGGTGCTTCCTTTGGTAGGTATGGATTCAATTCAATTACCTAAATAATAGGTAATTAAGAATTAGATATCGCACCGTATATGTGAGATCACCTTCCTAAAAGATAGACATAGGATTTTTCTCGATAAGCTTCCAAAACAAAATCAGATATACCTTAGTAACAAATAGCTAATCCCACAAACTATGAGATTGATTATTATAATCATTATATCTTCTATTCCACAAATTTTCTAATAAAATTAAAATAACATATCTTCCTTATCTTACCAAATCACATATATTCTTATCTTACCAAATCACATACATCTCTACTATTAAAGGGGTGTTGGTAGGCCGCATGCGCGCATCCTTGCAAAGCGACGATGTGCGCGACACTATGGGCTCCGGGGCCTCGTCGTTAAATTGTGGGAGTAGCTTGCGCTTCAAGTAGCTCTTTGGGGGTGTGAGGCCGTATTCCTCGGCTGACAGGACGTCAGTCCATCTGTCATTGAGCAAATCCTGGTCAGCTTGAAGCTGTTGCTACCTCTTTTTAGGCTTCTTTCCGTGGCGATTAGCCGGCGCTTAAAGCGCGCTTGTTCGAGGGGTTCCTCCGGCACGATGAAATCTTCATCGCCGAGGCTCACATCCTCTTCGGAGATCGGTAGGTAATTACTATCCTCCGAGTCCTCATTCCCGACAGCATCGTCGAGGTTTACCTGCCCATCCTCCCAATCATCTTGTTCGGATGTTGGCTCTACAGGGGCTTCAGGGTCTTTGACGTTCTCCAGGGTGTTATTCTCTTCGGTGCCGGTATTGCTGTCTTTTTGGCGACGTGATTTTGAACGGCGCCTCTGACGTTGATGTTTTGGAGGTGCTTCGGCATGCTTGTCCTCAACTGGATTCTCTTTGCCATCGTCGCCATCCTCTTTGGTGTGTCCATCATGTACACGTCGTATGTGGAGGTGGTCGTCCATCGTCCGATAAACGGAGGGTTTTCGCCTTGTTCGTCTCCGGCGTCCTCGTCCATACCGTCGATGTCTTCAGAGGCGTAATCCAACATGTTGGTTAGATCCTCGACAGTGGATATGAAGTGGGTGGTGGGTGGGACGTGAAATTGCCCGCTCTCAGCCCCTAGTCTGGGCTGGGCATAATTCGGAAGCGATCCTTCCGTAATGGCAAGTGATCGCATTAAGTCCAAAGCCTCGTCTAAAGGCGAGGGTTGGACAGAGAAGCAGGAATCCGTGGGGTCATCCGGAGTTTGAGCCTCCTGGCGGCGCCCACTCGGCACGGACCTGGAGAGTTCGGACTTAGAGTCCAGCAAAGTGTCTGGTGCTTCTCCGGTTGCAAACTCCATAAGTGCAGAGAGTCCGGCAGGCTCTAAACTCCCGTCTTCGGACCTGACGGCTTGCTCTGGATCAAAGGCCAGAGCGGTAATTGGGGTCGCGGACCCTTCGAGGATCGAATCTCCTCGGATATCGGCAACATAGTTTAAGTCCCCGAAACTGATCTGATGACTAGGGGCGTAATTGTCATTCTGCTTGAGGTGACCGACCGAGTTGGCT